AAAGGGGGTACTTTTGATCCGACCCTTAAGAGACTAGTTAAGAATCTTGGATATATACTAAGTGTTTTCATAGAGAAACTCTAGAATGTCTCACTTTAGAAGTCAAAGTTTYGTCTCATAATTTCATCCTCCATGGACCCCCTCCTCCTCCCCATGCAGATGACTCTCTTCTCTATCTTTCAAACACATTTGTCCATGTGGGATGTACAATGTTTGTACAAAAGTACCATTTTACGTCATTTGTCACTATTCAATAATCTGTATTTTGTCCTTTATGGCAAACTCTGTAAGGGACGAGACATCGTGGAAGACCCATGTAGAGGCACTCCGTGAGTCAACCATCTCCATCAGATCCTTGTAAAACCAGGATATCCAGCAAGGAAGGATCTGAAAATCGATGCCTTGGAAAAGTGAAGTGGAAAATCCATATAGGATCCTCCGCATCCCCATACAACCTTCCCTTCCCGAAAAAATTAAACTACCTAGGTAATACCAGCACCGTGGTCCATGTGGGATGATCGTTTCTTAAACTTATTCATGACGACAGAGCGGAGGAAATCACAATCGTTAATGTGTTTGCATAGAAGATCATAATTAAGAGGTTAAATACGGTCACTCTTAGCTTCCGTCTTCTCTAACATGTATCGATAAATTGACTAACTACAATGCAAACCCGATAGAATAGAACATTGAGTGTTTTCTTCTCGCTATTTGGATATATCGGAAGCAACGCACAACGTTTTTTGCTCGAGCATCTTTGCCTCAAGCTCGAGCATCGCTCTGACGAGCGTTTTATTGTACAAACGCATAAAATTATCTGCAACTCAAGACGAATCCCAAGGGACCATAATTGCCTAGTCCAACAGGAATTATTCATGTTGGGCGAGTTTCAATGACAATTATCATGCATAAGGGCTGGGTTTATAGATGAATATTTACAATAACCAGGTCTAGGATATAAAGAACTTGAAGGACACACCCTTGTCGTGGGAAAAAAGGTCATTCAATATGTAATATTAATGCTCCAGTTTAAAGTTTCTCTTTGCTCAGCCTTAGTTTGGGCCGCACGTTTTGAATATTCAATCAAAACCCGTGGCATTTTAATCAACTCGTATTGTTCCATAGTGCGTACATTCCTTACTATACAATGGACCTTGATCAAAGAAAAGAACACATTTGTACACAATAAAACTGAGCAAATGCGAACTCGAAATGGATATTGGATGTTATTGTTGTTTTTATTTTATTTTCTTAAAAGAGCATCAACAATTGAATCACATGACCAATCATTTGYGCAAATGAATCTGCAACTTATTTTCATACCAAACAGTTTTAATTGGTATACGCGCATCAATTGCGCCTTAATTCAGCCCCTACAATAAGATTTCATGACGGACCATAGGGACAAACAAATACCGCTCTAGTACATTCATCTCATGTCCTGACGAGACCCTTACAAACAAGTAAAGTTCTCTTCTCAGTCTATGATGACTAGAGCCAACAACAATACAAATCCTCATTCTAAATGCCGCTTCATCTTGATGATAAACAATATACTGACGAKGTCAATAAAGTCCTCTTCTCAGTCCGTTTACACCAAMAATGATGCAGCGATGAGGTACCACAATCCCTGTCCTGTGAGGACTCGTGCAATGGAGTGGTAATGACGAAACTGGCTTCAGAAACCAAGGCTATTTCTCAGGAAGCGTTAATACTTGTGGGATAAACTTCTACCTGTATACTGAACTGCGCATGTGTCATATACTTGTACTAAACTGCGCATGTGTCATATACTTGTACTAAACTGCGCATGTGTCATATACTTGTACTAAACTGCGCATGGTACAAGTCATGCACTGTTCTAGTGAACATTGTTGGTCATCACACCTCAAATTCCATGTACTCTTGTTTACAAAAAGAATGTGTATAATCAAACCGTTACCCAAGTTGMTTCTCACGTGTAGCACTCAACATTCTTTTTGTAAAGACCGTATTATTCAGGAAGCAAGTGTGACTTTAAATAATTTCTTTTTCTCCGACGAAGGACTAGCGTCCGAAACGTCAGTAAGCTTTTTCCTCTCTTCACGGTGTAAAATTTACCCTTTTATCATTACTGAATAATCATGAGGTGAGAGATACCGGCGAWGAAGGAAAAATAGAGAGATCGCTTCAACAGATCTTAAATTACAGAAAAAACGAATGAACGAAAGTTTCTCACAGAAATGTGAGAGTAATGGGTTTTTTTTGTTGGCAGAATTACCTTTCTTTTTCTAGGAATTTGAACTTGAGTGTTGAAAACTGGTGAGATGCGCGCACGTGTCGCTAACTCCATCAAATTCTTTGAGAAGATCGTTATTTCTTGCATATTAATTTGTTCTTTCAAAAAACAAAAAAAATTTCGTCAATCAACATACTCCTACCCAAACCATGATGCTCATTATTAGGTGGCTACATCAGCATGTTAAAAATACCCTTTACCAGTTATAGAGTATAAAACCAAGTGTAGAAAAGGAAAGATTTATTTCCCAATGCATTCTGACTACAGTCAACACAAGCACAAACCCTCATTCTATTTAACCGCTTCATCTCGATGATAAACAATGTACTGACGAGGTCAATAAAGTCCTCTTCTCAGTCCGTTTACACCAAAAATAATGCAGCGATGAGGTACCACAATCCCTGTCCTGTGAGGACTCGTGCAATGGAGTGATAATGCCAAAACCTGCTTTAGAAAACAAGGCTATTTCTCAGGAAGCGTTAATACTTGTGGGATGAAGTTTTACATGTTATACTAAACTGCGCATGTGTCATATACTTGTACTAAACTGCGCATGTGTCATATACTTGTACTAAACTGCGCATGTNTACTAAACTGCGCATGTGTCATATACTTGTACTAAACTGCGCATGTGTCATATACTTGTACTAAACTGCGCATGTCATACACTTGTACTAAACTGCGCATGTCATAATTTGTACAAAACTACGCATGTGTAATAGTTGTACTCAGATCTGTCATCAATCTCGTTACCAGTGCCTTTTTTCTCACTGTGCATGCTCCAGAGAATAATTTATTTGGCCGAGTTTGCGCAGAAATGAATAATGGCTATGAGAACAAGATTGATTTCTTGTTCAATCTAATAACCCTTCCGTGACATCATTAATGATAGTTACTTTTTCAGCTTTTATTTCGTTTTGCTTTCTTTACACAAGACTTTATTGACTTTCAATTTAATTCATAGCATTTTAAGCGTAAAAAATAATAATTCGCATGCAAAATTTTTGATAAGAAATGTTATTAACTTAAACTCGTTTGGGATCCCTTCAAAACCCATGAAACCACATGAAGCGCAAGTGACTTTCCCTGTGAAACATAAGAACAGAAATCTAGTGATGAGAAGTGATTTGAAGTTCTCCTTCAAAAATTGATTCGTTTCATTGTTTGTGACGTCAATCACACATGTTTTGATTGGACGAATAGCCGACCAATCAGAGCAAGGTATATTTTAAAGATAGAATGGTTTGACTGATTGAAAACATCCTTATATTCCCCATTCTTCCGAGGTATTTTTTGTCCGGTGTGGGCGGAGGAATGGGTCCGTACAAACAAAGTACTACTCACTAGTGAGCAATGTCTGCAATACAATAATTGATTCGATTGTACAACTGACTGTTGACTATCGTTTGAACCCTTCGTGTAGCTGAGCATGCATTCCTTTAGGTCAGCGATCGACGTCATAAGATAAAGGATTTTGAAAAGCATCAACTTTCATCTTTTTGATTGGACAAGATCGTAAAAGGGAAACAGAAAAAGCGGGTTAATATCATTGGTTAATCTCTTTCATTCAGATTGTTTCCTTACCAACCGCAGAACAAAAGGACTGCAGGCTCAGGTTAGGTAGATCAAATAACCCCGTAGAACAAGATCGTCTATGTTAAACAGAAAACCGTTTCCTTTTCCTTGTTTGTCGATGTTTCTTCACAGGCTTATTGTGATCACTACTGACTTCGATTAACCCGTGCTTCCACAACACCGGCGTATTTCCAAGAAACGTTCACCTTAGAACCTTAAGATGAATGTCTTGACAACCCGTTCGTAATTCAAAAATTGCAAGTCCTTGGTCCTTTCTTTCCTTGTGGACGAAATACTAGCGATTCTTTTTAACTGTCAAAACAGTTGGGCGGAGCAAGAGGTAGGGATAAACCACACCCTTTTACAACGTCGTTTCCATCATCGTTATCTTATAGAGCAGTTTCATTCTGTCTACTCGACACTTCTTCTTCTAGTAATGAGATTCTTTCTTTTAGGGTTCGAACCTGCACAACAAGAATAGTTAGAACAAAGTTAATTGTTTAGATTAAAATGTAGTAGCCTTGGTTTAATCTTACGTGGAGTTTAGTACCTGTCCTTTAATCATCCCCACCAACATCGTCATCACCATCATCGCCACCACCATCATCATCATCACCATCATCATCACCACCACCATCATCATCATCACCATCATCATCACCACCACTACCACCATCATCATCACCATCATCACCATCATCATCATCACCATCATCATCACCACCATCATCATCACCACCACCACCATCATCATCACCACCACCATCATCATCATCATCATCACCACCATCATCATCATCATCACCATCATCATCATCGGTTATCTCCAACGTAATCATCGCCATCATCTTCATTATCATCTTCATTATTATAATCATAATCATCCCCACCAACACCACCGTCTGAGTATTACCATTATCATTATTACCATTAGCATACACCATACCTGCGCGTCATGTCGTTCCACAACACACATCATTTGCTGTTCCAATTTTCGTAGCCTCGCAGCATGTTTCTTCTTTGCTTTCTCGTAAGCAGCGACCAGCGCTCCGTTCGCTCTCTTCAAGTCACTCACGTACTCCGCTGTCTGAGTGTGTCTGGTTTCGGAGTTTTTCGACAGGCTCTCGAGCGCCTCCATCAGCTCTTTAATACGAGCGCGAAGCTTCTTCTCACGAATTGCTGCCTCGTGTAGATCTGTTGGTAAGTCATCATCACTGATACGGATGTCTGACAAGTTACCTGATCCTGAACCAGAGCTGGATTGATTACCGGAAGATAGGTTACCATCCTGGTGATAAAAACACATACGGTATTATAATCATCATGTATCATGTATCATCATCATGTATCATGTATCATCATCATGTATCATCATCATGTATCATCATCATGTATCATCATGTATCATGTATCATCATTCATTATCATCATCATCATCGAGTATCATCATCATGCACCATGTATTATCATGTGGGTTTAACATCATGTATCATCAACAACACCATCATCATTATCAACCATAATCATTATATATTATCAACATCATTAGGTTTTCATCATCATCATCGTGTATCACTATCATGATGTATCTATATCACAGTAATAATTTATCAATTTTAATAATTTTCATCATCTCTACGCACCATCACTGGTCTAAGCATCTGCTAAATAGTTTTTTTCGAATATATTTTAATTGTTAATTAAGGACCATACTTCCAGACATCGAGTGCTGAACCGTCGTATGGCAGCGCGAAGCATTTACGGCTACGCCGGAGATTTCGGCCCCGACGCCGCTATCCCTGGATTCATAGACTGATCAGGAAGCTCGGCCGAAGCCTAAGGGAGAGGTTAGTCGGCCCCTAGACCGTAGATGATTAACCCCTTGCTATGACCAGCATACCCGATGAGACGCTTGAGACTCTGATCACTTAGTACTCGTAAGTGCTCGTTTCCATGTGGGATGTGACTTGCGGTACTTTATCTGTTGTAACATCATCATCACGTATCATCACCACCATCATCACCAACCATCACCATCATCATCACCATCATCATCACCGTAGAATCAATCACCGTCTTCATCGCCATCATTATCATCAATCATCAATATCTCCATTATTGCTACTCTTTCAGCATAAATGATTATTCAATGTTGATTTTACCTTATTCCCAGCATCTCTTTCTTTTTCTATTCTTCGTCTTTTTTTCAATTCTTCTCTTATCTCAGACTTGAGTTGTTCAATCTGCAGTAGATACGCCTGTTCRTGTGCCTCACGCGAGTTGATTTTCAGTTCAAGAGCTTTCTTTTCTTTTTCAATTAAATAATTCTTAGCTTTGAGTTCCGCCTTCTCCTCCTTGAGTGCCATTAATTCCTGCATCAAGACAGCATTCTCCAGGTCTAGTTTAGGGTCTAGTGAATCTATTTTTTGTGGTTCTGGTACATCATGAACACCTTGCAGTTCCAATACCGTTGATCCTACTGTTAATCGTTCAGATTTCAACTGTTGAATATAACTCTTTAGCCTTGTTTCCTCCTCGCGCGTGAACTCCATGTTCTCGTTCGAGGATCCCGAACTTGTTCTACTGCGGGACGACACGGATTCCCAAGGCTGCTCCTTGATGTATTGTTCTTCTAAATCTTTGTCAAGTTTTTGTAAAAGAGAACGCGCTTCTGTTTCTGCCGTGCGCCTGCGCACAAGACACGCGTCTACGTCATCAGACTGATCATCCTTTATCRAATTTTCTGGATATAATAACCGGTATGACGAATTTAAACCGGTTTTCACACCAGCAGCTTTACAATTAGCTAATAAACAAGACTGTTCTGACTCGGAAAGCTGTAGTAATACTTCATACGTTTCGATAACCTTGTCACAGAAGGTTAACGAGAGCTGAGAAGCAGTGCTGTTAGATTCATATTTGCCCATCAAAACACACATTTTTTCAGCGTTTTCACGACTCTCCTCCAGTGACAGACACAAGACGTTGATCTGTGACTGTAAATGTTCAACGGTACAGTTTAATCTCTCTATTTCTAGTTCATATTCCTTGAGCTTCTTGTCCGCTTGATCATCACAGTAACTAAACAACACTTTGTAGACATCTTGTAAGTTCCTGCAGCTGCGCAGTGACCGTAGGAGCTCGTTAGGTAAGCGACCATTAGCGAACTCTGGTAGTTGACTCTGGAAATGAAAAAAAGTATTAGTCCATCTCGTCTCATCATTCTCGCTAAAACAATCAGACTACGTTGAAATGCGCACTTTTACGATCGATATCTGTTCGTCACTATCCGAACATGCGCAGTAGATTTTTCGCCCGGGTCAGATTTTTAACATGAATGAAAGCATCTCAATCGATATCTGTTCGTCACTATCCGAACATGCGCAGTAGATTTTTCGCCCGGGTCAAATTTTTAACATGAATGAAAGCATCTCAATCGATATCTGTTCGTCACTATCCGGACATGCGCAGTAGATTTTTCACCCGGGTCAAATTTTTAACATGAATGAAAGCATCTCAATCGATATCTGTTCGTCACTATCCGAACATGCGCAGTAGATTTTTTGCCCGGGTCAGATTTTTAACATGAATGAAAGCATTTCAATCGATATCTGTTCGTCATGTTCCGAACATGCGCAGTAGATGGCGGATGTTGTGAGAATATTTTACCGTATCTCTCATTATTAAACAATACCACAGGTATCCCATAACTTACCAAAGATCTAATACAGTGATCACCACTAGTCCTTGTATCCATGGTATCATCCACAGGTCTCGCTATCACTGTTATCTCCTGTGAAGACGAACCTTGCGACGATCCTAAATCACTAGTGCCAGCCCCTCTCCAAAACGACTGACTCGACGCGACAGACTGGACACTTCCCCTGGGGGTCATAGTGGGGCTGTCTGGTAACCCTTGCCCCGACATACTACTACCACTAGCACGTCTCGTGTAGTTACCGGGTAGTGTAACAGATCGCCGGGGGGTAGAGGGAGAACGACTTTTAGACATGGAGTTGTTGAGGTTCTCGATGCTTGATCGTCTTGCTGTACGAGGTGACGCCGCCAAGAAGCCATCACGACTAGACACATCAGAAGCATTGCTGCTATAACTCGTCTGACGAGGAAACGACCGACTGCCTGTGTGGGGTCCCCTGGGATCCCCTGGTTGGGGAGGATTTGCTCTCGGTTGCCGTGGTGACTTGGAGCCCGGTTCGTGGAAGCTCGATGAACGAGACCTGGTTTCAAAGTTTATCGTTTTTTGGTGAAGAGCTTTGAGATGATCTTGCATTTCGAGAATCTAAGAAAGATTGATCGAAGATACGGGTTAAAATGGTAATGAAACTCTTAAATACTGGTGTAACTTCCTACGTTGCGTGACAGACCGTAAGTCGAATGGCTCTCAAAAAGGCCGATGACTTCGTGACGCCTATTCCAGAAGGCCATTTCGCCTAGTTACACGTCCAGTACCAGGTACTGTACAGACGTTCGCGACGTCAACGGCCGTTTTGAACACCATTTGTCAGCGCGCACGCCGTTCTCTTTTACGTCTAGTTGTGTTTGGCAAATCAATAGAGATACGTCACGTCACGACACGGCGTTACCGGTCACGTCACGGCACGACGTCACGGCACGTCCATACAATAAGACTGGTCAGTGTCGAAACTCAGGTATTCCTCAGCGCGCAATCTTAGTTCTACTTACTCGTTTCCTTAACTTGTCTCGTTCTTCTCTAAAGCTGCTAATCTCCTGCCTCGATGTCTCTAGTTCTTGTGTGGTTTGGTTGAGCTTGGTGCGCAGACCTGCACATTCATTACATGGAGTCTGCGCATCCTGTAACACGAGATATCATGTAAGATTAACTGATACCTTTCCATGTTAGTCTCATTCCTAGTGTTCCTGGGAATCACGGGGGAGTACGCACTACTAATGGGTCGCCTCTCGCTAAGGTGACTGGGATTCGATTCCTGGACACACACCATCATGTGAGAAGAGCTGTTTAATGGTTTTCTTAGGACATCTGCATAAAAGGGTTTTACGAGAATCTTACCTGTGATTGTCCTTCGCTACCGATACTCGAGGACTTCTTCCTTGCGACATACTCTCGTAGGCTTGCTTGTTGAAGCTGACGCTCCACTGAAGAACAACGAAATGCTATTAGTCTTAGTTTATACATCCAAACAAAACCAGAATCACTGAATATAGGTAGGTAGGTTAACTTTATCTAAACACGCTTGCCCCGTTAACTGAAGCTGATTTCCACAAGGGGCGTGTAAGCAAACCCATGACCCTTCAGGCTATAAAAAAGTACGTGTCGAGCAACATTGATGTGTTGCAAGGTGCAGGCCATATGGGCCTCCTGGCATGAGAAGTTATGCAGATAATGAAGATGCGGAGCGAATGTCGCGCGTATTAGCATCTGTTGCACAAGTACACAAGTAGAAGTCCTTTTTCTAACAAGAAAATTCGCTCCTCAACTCAGAATGCAACACTGTTGCACAAGAAGTAAGTAAAGATGGATAAAAATCTTTTATACTTACAAACTTGTTTTTTCTTCTCGAGTTCCACGCACTGTTCCCTCAGCAGTCGTGCTTTTTCCATCAACTGGTTACATTCCTGTGATTTATTGTCAGTAGACGCACGGCTACCCACTGCTTTACTCACTTCTATTACATTATTAGATTTATCGTCAGTCACCTTCACCGTCACTTTGATGGGCTCTTTATCTTTCTTGTTGTCTTTTGGTTCTGGTTTCTCTCTCTCGATGGCAAACTCCAAGTCACCAACAACTTTAGACAGTTCATCGTCTACTTCATCTTCATCTTCAAGAGATTCTAGACTCTCTGAGCTGCGAGAACCTGCAGAACATATGTTGATGATGTGAAACTTGGAGAGAATGATGATGATGGTGAATGATGGTGATGGTGATGGT